AGGGAAAAGATAAGGGAAATTAGTCAAATACAAAAAGAATGAGAAAAAAGAAAGGACTGAAATTATTCAGCCACAGTTGAAAAGTGCAGGAAGAAAGACAAGGAAAAACAGCCATAAGCAAAGGTTTTATCCGATCACTGTGTGGTATGTTATATATTTGACATTTTAACATTTATTTATATGAATTGTTGCCATGGCTACCTGTGATGCCGGACATCTTTGATTCCATTCTTGGTGTTTCCTAACCTCTGACCCGGCCGAGGTCTGCAAACAAAAACACACGACATCATTCAGACAGAGAGCGTTTGCATACGGTATCATTTTTACAGGACCTCTCTTTTCCAGATATTTTTGTATTCATAAACCATAACAATATTCCATACATAATTCATGCAACACACTGGAATAACTGCATGAAAAGCCCAAGCCTCTATGTAGATTTCACATACATATTACACAGTCCTGTTTTGTTTTATGAGATTATTCAGCCAAGACTCTGAGTTTATGCTGAATGTGCGCTACAGCATGACCATTGTATAAAACCGTAATCAGTTGGTTGTATTCTTCTCACCTGCACAGCTTACTGATGATGGACTTGGCTGCCTCACTCAAATAAGGTGGATATTTTGGCACCCCATCCAAAATTTTGGAATAAATCTTCTGAGGCTCTGAGCTTGAAAAGGGAGGGCTGAGAAAAAGAAAAGAGAAAATTAATTTATTGTTATATAATCTTTTGTTATTTATCCCCTACAAAATTAAAAGGAAATCCAAAGTCTAATAGGTAACCTGAACCATGTGATTGGAGACAGTGAATTATGAAGGTTATAAATGATAAAAATGTTTTTCACTGCTATACATCAGCCTTACTGCTCCCTGCTGCCACCTACCGGTTGACATTGTAGCTCTGCTCATTTAGCATTTATTCTCACTGCCATATTTATATGACTCCACGTTTACAAGGTTTTTTTCTCTCTTTTTTTTTTTTGGCTTAATAAATAACAATAGTATGGTTCGTTCAGTATAACGTATTAGTGTTACCTTCCCACCAGTAGCTCAAAGATCAGGACGCCAAGGGACCAAAAGTCAACTGCATAGTCGTGTCCTTGATTCTTAATGATCTCTGGGGCTATGTACTCAGGAGTACCGACAAATGAGTAGGTCTTTTCCCCACGCACCAACTCCTTGGCAAATCCAAAATCCACCTGCACACACACACACACACACAAAACATAAGCAGCTCATACACTACCTCTGAGAATGCAAACTCTGCTCACATTTTCACATTCAGCTGCATTTCTGCAATATACAATTGGTACTTAGAGCTTTAAAGAGTGTAGAAATAAACAAACACACAGTTCTGCACAGATAAGGACTCACCAGTTTGACGTAGCCCTTTACATCCATCAACAGGTTCTCGGGCTTCAGGTCTCTGTACATGATGCTATTCTTGTGGAGGTAGGCGAAGGCCTCCACCACACAGGCAGTGCAGAACACAGCAATGGGCTCCTCAAAACGGCCCCTGGCAGTCACAGAGACACTGAGGTTGAACTATAGTTTTCAGCACCTAACTTGCTCTGCTCATTTTAATTTGCTTCCATATGATTATTACATTCTACCACCATCTATTGCTGTTCATCTCATCTGCCATGGTAACATCCCTTGGGAAATGAAGTTCACCTTATTGCCATGGCTACAGATTGTTGTGGGTAACTACATATTTCTCTGTAACAGCTACTGTTGAGTGTATTTCATCAATAATTTAAATTTCTTACCAATCAATAACACTGTCTCAGATTTACAACCGTGACCATTTAAAACTGCCTTTTTGTCTGTTTTCTCACACTTCTTTGAGTTTGGTCCAGATCTCCCCACCACTACAGAACTCCATCACCATGTAGATGTATCTTGTGTCTTTAAAAGTAGCATGAAGTCTAGAAAGAGACAGGGTGGAAATCATTGTCAAGTTGTCTGTTATTTAATCAGATTTTTATAACAAAATAATTAAAGTTAGTATGACTGGGATCATAGATACCTGATGATGAAGTCACACTGGATGACTTTAAGGATCTTCTTCTCAAACAGTATATGCTCCTCCTGTCTTTTGGCAACAATGAGCTTCTTGCTCACTCTCTTCATGGCGTAATATTTCCCATGGGTCAGTGTGGTCATCTTAAAAAATAAGATATATAACAAAATAAAGCAATACAGTATTACAGTATTATCTTTTAATATCTGGAACACTATTTTAGGTACAGTTTATCAGTCTTGTATTGAAGGTGTTTTAATTTGTCTGTGAAGTTCAAGAGTGGGGGCTTGCAGTTTTTTTCAAGTGAGTGGCAGGGTCCAAAGAAAATGAAAATGGAAGGGCCAGGCTTCAGTGAAGTATTAGACTTCCTCCCCACCCCGGTAATTGGTGTACAGTCCCTTAGTTTCAGCTAGCTCCTGTCTTACCTCTTGAATTTCTTATATTGTGCTTCAGTCTAATATATTTTTGCCAGAAAAGCAGCTCCAGTACGGTTTTGGATAAGAGAACTAATGAATAACATTCCAGTCAATACTGAAATAGAAATAGACAAACAGAGAAATACACTCACCAGTTCAACACGGCCAAACCCTCCAACTCCTAGCGTGACAGGATCTCCATGAAAGCGACCCTCCTGGTAGAGCACAGGAACCAGATCCTGAAACCTCAGACTGGAGCTGGGACTGAGAATGAGAGAATGTTTAATGAATGTTGAGCTATTGCACTTCAAGGAACTGATTTGTGTGATTCACATGATTGTGTTGTATCTTGTCTCCTGCATCCTTAAAAGTCTTCTCATCTGCCACAGCCAATCACCTCTGCTTTTCCAGAGCTTGTGCCTCCTGCACCACTTTGGAACTGGGAGTAGAAAACAAATAACAGTCAGGATCTGAGGAGGAAACTGATTGGAACAGTCTGTTTCTATATACACATCACACTATTCTGACAAGATGGAGAGGAAGGGTAGAAGCAATCACTTGAAAAGTGTTTTACAGTACATACTCATCAAAAAGCTCCAGTTGTTCTATGGGAATTGTTTCTTCAAAAACCCTGAAGAAGAGGCATTGTTAGTCAACCAGCGCGATGGTCAGTAGACAACAGAAAGCAAACACGGTAACAAATACTCTGGATGAACAACAGTTGTCACAGCACAGCCTGAGCAAACATGTCATTTACACTCAAAATGTAATGTAGAGTCAGACTCACTCCTTGTCAATAGAGAAGCAGGTAACAGGGCCATCAGCTGTGCAGGTGGCAGTTCTCAAGACCTCGCTGCAAAAAGATAAATATGGCACATCTTTTATTCTACTGTAGAGCACATACATACAGTACATTACCATATTTGCATGTTGTTTTTTTTTCCAAAATGGTTGATTTGCAGCACTTACACTAGTAATTTAGCTGAACTTTCAGGGCTCTGCAATATTTACATGAGTGATTTAAACTTCTAAAGTAACAGCAAATGCTCACGATTAGAAAATAATTGGCAGCTTTTCCAACCAAAATGTCAAAAATGATAGCACACAAAGATGTACACAGAGTAGTGGATGTTGCACAAAGCTCTCACAAATGTCCTTAGGCATATGTTGTGTTGCCATGGTTACCGTATAAGGGCCTGTTCCCCGAAATGCTCCCCTTTTACCATCCTGCGAATCTGCTTCTGATGCCCATTGACATTCTTAGTGACCAGGACCTGAGGAGGAAACACACACGAGAGGTAAGAAGAGAGAAGTACATATACTGTATATAAGCGTACAGCTGGTACAGCATCACATTTAAATATGAGTTTGTGCACACAGTGTAACACTGTATTACCTCTCCTTTGAGGATGATGTAGAACGTGTTTCCTTCAGTTCCTTCTTGAACGATAACATCTTTGTCCTGGTACTTCACCTGAAAAAGACGAGACAAATGACACAATAATAATGCATAATTACACAAAGTTGTCATATGTGTGCCTGGAAAATACAGTGAGTTTCCAAACAAGCCTTAGGATTGGACAGCTACATCAGGTTCTAGTCTGTTTTATGGGTTTTATTGCTTCTAACCAAAGAATAAAACAACAACCCAAGCTGTAATTTAGATGTGTTTTTACAAGCATTTAGTTTTTGCTAACATTAGTTCAGTGTGACATCTAAATACACACCTCCTCCATGGAGTCAATAATCTTGGACAACTGGACATCATTCAGGTCCTTCAGAGTACGAGACCTGTGCAGCAGCAGAGTTCAACATAATAAGGGGTTATATGCTCTATTCATGCAAAAAAAAAAAAATGCCAGTACAGTTACAGCAGTTTGACAAAAGGAAATAAGACACAAGGAAAACATTAAATCAAGGAAACCAAGGAATAAGAATAAATCCATATTAGGGGGACAATCCCATTAAACCTTTGCAAATCATGCTAATATTATTATATATTATTTAAGATGAAGAGCTCCTGTTCTTTACTGTAGCTCAGTCTGTAAACTCACGTCTTCAGGAAGCCCATGAGCTGCTCTCGTTTCTTTTTAGACTTGTTGGTTATGATGGTTCTATAGGTCTGTCGCTCCATGCACCACAGACGTACCTCTGTCTTTGCTGCAACACGAGTACAAGAGATGAAGAGCTGAAGTTTTAGCAGTTAACTCCAGTTTATAATCATTAGCAAAGAGTCCGGACTGAAATGATTCACAGAAACAAGCAACTTGCTTGTGAGCAGCTTTACTTATGAAGTAGCTCATTGCTTTCACAAATAAAATACTCACCTACAGTTACTCATATTTTAGCTTAAAGTACTCAGTGAGTGCTGTTACTTTTGCTAGAACACACAATGAGACAAACTAGGGGCCCCAAATAGCATTTGTACTTAGGGGCCCCAAAAAGATATGGCCACTCCTGTTTGTGTGTAAGTGGTTAAATTATAGTGTGACCCTGCTTATAGGTCCTGTAATCACCACTGCACTACACACAAATTATATGCCATAATATGCATCACATAAATCACACTGTACATGCTGTCAGGACCTATAGAGGTACAGTAAGCTGTGGTAAACAAAAGGGAAACCGTGCCAACATTGGATCTGCATTACAGGGGCTTCACCTCTGACTGTTGCTGTCCGTTTGCAGTTGTACAGGATGGCCAACTCCCCAAACACATCGCCACTGGCGAGAGTTCTCAGCTCGCGGCCTGCCTGGGTGACAAGGAGCTCACCAGCTAAAAGTTGGAAAGAAACAAGATTGCTGCGCATAGAAGTGTGTACAGTTTTTTAACTATTATTTACTATATAAGGGAGAGGTTTAGAATTCAGAACAGAATTTAAAACATCAGTTTTTACATCAAGTGTGTCCCCACCTGCAACTATGTACATGCTGTCTCCTTCAGTGCCCTCTTTAATGACTTCATCTCCTGGTTTTAAGTTTGATGCCACTAAGAGATCCACCATCATGGCTATTTGCTCATCATCAAGACGGCTCAGGAAGTCATTCTTTTGGATGGCTTTGATGATCAAACCCGTCTCGCTGATGATGGAAGGTCAGAGGAGTCATCATGAATGTTCAGTGAAATTCTGGGGAGCTCCCATGCAACAGGTAAACAGATTATACAGATGTTTGACATATGGTGCTGGAGAGGCAGTTAGATTGGCTTTGCTATAATGACATAGCCAAAAATAAACAAACAAACTGGAATAGTCTCTTGTCAGCAGTACTGTTACCAACCTGACACTTTTCCTGACCCTGGTGCGTGTAATCTCCAAGGT